CTTGCTGATTTGTTCACCAAAGGCTTATGTTGTAACAAGCTGGATCTTTATGATATATATGCTCCAGATTGAGGGGGAGTGTTGAAGTGTAGTCAATGGCAGTATTTTAGACTTTTTCTCACTTGTTATATGTTTGATTTGTCTCCTGTTATTTATAAGGGCTGTAATTTTACAAACATTAGAGCTTAATGAAACAAAGGGTTGATAGTGAGAGGAGGGGCTCTCTCTAGTTCACCTATAGCTTCCTTTCTCTTCTGAATGCACACCTTTCTTAACTTCTTTTTCTTCTTTTCTCATTTTCAGTAACGCTTTTAAGGAAGATTTCAATTACTTACATAACAATTTTGGCCACTCAAATTTATCCACAACTAGAGTGAAGAACCCAATGCATCTCTCTTTGAACCCAAGAGGCTGAAATGGTTCACAAACTTTGAACCCAAGAGTCCCAAGGTGGCGTTTGGTTGTGGTGAATATTTTCATTTGAACTTGTGTAAATGCAAGGAAGTGCAAATAGGTTGAGTGTAAATTCTGGTCAAATTTTGATTCAGATTTGACCTGGTCTTGTTTGTTTGTGAATAGTAAAATAGGAAGTAAAATGGTGTCGCCCCACCTTATATGCAAGAGAATGGTGGTAGGAGGATTATTTGTTTGAGAATGAGGTATGAAGCAAGATAATGTGGTCCCCACTTCATATGAGAGAGAATTGAGGTAGGAGGAATGTAGTGCAAATTTCACATCAATCTTTGAGATGCAAAATTTACCCTGCTAGTGAGACAAAAAGTACAAATTTTGTATCAGGTAGAAGTGTAAATCATAGTTACAAGCAAACAGATGCAAAACTGAACTGGGTGAAAAATTTATGCCTGATTCAGATTTGTACTGCAACCAAATGCAACCTAAGTTTTAGAAATAAAGAGAAGTCACCAAGTTTTTCAGTGGAAAACAATAGAACTTGCTTGCCTTTTGTTTAAATTTACATGCATATCTCCTGTATATTATAACTTGAATACATGTTTTGACTCATTTGATGCTTGACTTCATTTTGAGCTTCTCATGGGTGAATACTAACTACTAACAAAAGTAGATCATAGAGAGCAGCTCTTGTGTCACCTCTGCCAAATAGAGCTTTACTTATTTAGGTTATTGTTTCAGAGTGTTTCTATATACAGTACGGTGGATTAGCACAAGAATAACTATTGATATTACAGAATAATTGGAGGAACCAAGTTATTCAATCTGGTCCAACAATTTGTAATTAGGAACCTATAATAGCTAATAACAAATTTCCTATCAAGCAAGATAGGTACTAACAATTCTTTTCAGGAAATACATGTGGATATATCTAGTGAACATCTAGAACAAATTAAAGGTGTTTTAACTTCTCTATCAATATATAAATTGTTGAACTTTTACTTTAAGCACATAACTATATATTGAGAGAGAGAGAGATAAAAACATACACACGTACATAAATAGACATTATAATTAAAATTAATCTAAAATTGGATCATCAATGATCTTTTCTAAAATAAGTGAATGTGAGGTTAACAGGCCATACTGTTGAGAGACTGCAGTCATGTGGGTTAATTCTATATCTCCACTATGGGAGTGATGCCACAACCAACTCCTGATGCTGAAGGAAAGAAACTACAGCAGTCCTAGCAACAATGATTCATAAGGCGTAGAAGGAAGGATACTCCTAAGGCTTAATGTCCACATTCCACAACAATCTAATCACCCGCCTCAAAGTAATTTTGAAAGCAACCCTGGACTTCCTATTCCTACTTTTATTGAATCTGATATCTCACAATCTGACCTTGACCTCCTCATTGCAGTTAGAAAAGGAAAAAGAAAATGCACTACCTACCCCATCACTATGTATGTTATAATGCTCTTTCACCTTCCTATTATGCCTATATTTCTGCTATCTCCTCTGTTTTTGTTCCTTGTAATGTTTTAAATGCAATGTAGTCACCTCAATGGAAGGATGCTATGAACCAAGAGATAGAGGCCCTCCTAAAAGACCACACATGGGAGCTTGTTCCTTTTCTTGAAGGCAAAGTCCCATTGAGCTGCAAGTGGGTTTAAGCAATCCCTTAGAGCTTGGTTTGATAGATTGAGTAAAGTTGTTCTCAAAAATGGGTTCACACAATCACAGGCATACCATGCTTTGTTCATAAGGGTTAATGTCCTAGTAACCTTGTTGATAGTGTATGTTGATGATATAATTGTCACTAGAAATGATCACTTTGAGATAAACCAACTAAAGTCATTCATTGTTTCTGAATTTGAGACCAAAGATCTTGGGAATCTCATATACTCTCTTGGAATCAAAGTGGCAAGGTAAAAGGGAGGGATATTCATTTTACAGAGGAAGCATGTCCTTGAACTCCTTCATGAGGTTGGGAAACTAGGGTGCAACCCAGTTGAAATTCCTACTGACCCCAATCATAAACTAAGTGTCGATGATAGAGATATTCTTCTATACAAGGGTGTCTACTAGAGACTTGTTGGTCGGCTTATTTACCTGTGCCTGACTGGCTGGCTCGACTTGATATATCCTATGTTGTAAGCATGGTGAGTCAGTATATGCACAGTCCTAGAACTTTACACATGCAGGTTGTCAACATAATTCTTGCCTACCTAAAGGGATGTCTGGGTAAAGCCATAAAGGAATGTTTTACTCCAACCAAGGACATCGCAAGGTCAAGGTTTAACTTGATGCTTATTGGGCAGGTTCTATGGATGATAGAAGACCCACCTCCAGTTATTACACCTTGGTAGGTGGTAATGTTGTGTCTTGGAGAAGGCAAAAAAATCTGTTGTTGCCAGATCTAGTGTTGAAGCCGAATATAGAGCTATGGCTTATGGTGTATCAAAATTGCTATGGTTGAAGACCTTGTTATTAGAGATTGGGATCCAAGTTGAAACCCCAATAAGACTATACTATGATAATCAAGCTGCTATAAACAATGCTCATAACCCTGTTCAACATGATCACAGAAAGCATATTGAAGTTGACAGACACTTCATTATAGAAAAGATAGCCAACGGAGAAATGTGTGCCTTTTCTCAAGTAAGAAGATTAACTTGCTAATTGCTTCAGTAATGGTCTTAACAAGCCAAAACTTGATAGAAACCTAAGCAAGTTGGGCATGAGCATGATAAATATCTATGCTCAGCTTGAGGGTGTGTTGAGAATATGTATTTGGCTTAGGGGTATTGTTGTCATTTCATTTGTTTGTAGTTTGGGTGCCCATATAGGGACATAAATGTAATTACAAACTTTAGTATAAAATGAAATGTTTTGGGTGTGAACAATAACACACCCTCTTCTCCCATAACCTTTCTTCTTCCCACACCCATTCAACTGAGTTCACTTCGAAATATCCTTTATTTCTAGTCCTAAGTATTAATCTTACTTATTTTAAAACCTCTTGTTTCTAAGGTGTTTGTCCATAGATCTTATTTTTCATTTAATCCTTCTTTAGTTATATCAATTAATACTATGTCATTAGCAAACAACATACACCATGGAACCTCCATCCAAATATGTTTAGTTAATTCAACCATGACTAATGTAAGGGCTAATTACTAAGCATTGGTGAAGTTCCATTGTAATTAGAAACTCCAATGTCTCTCCTACAACTGTCCTAACATTGATTGTTACACCCTCATACATGTCCATAATTAAGTCCATATACCCATTAGACACTCCTTTCTTTTCCAAAACCAACCATATTATCTTTTTGGGAACTCTATCATTTGCTTTTTCTAGATCAACGAGGACCTATCTTCTTCTCTTAAATTTTTCTATTGATCTCCCTAGTGTAAAACTAAATTGTTTTTTTTTTTTTATATACTCATTTCATGTCATTAACTCTACTCCTTAAATTCTAGATCAACCATATTACAATATTGTTCATGGCCTTTATTTTTAAACATAGGAACCATAGTGCTCTTTCTCCATTCATCTAACAATCTTCTATACTTTCATTATCTTATTAAATAGTAGCCAATGATAGGCCTGCCTACCTCTCCCATACCTTTCCAAACTTCTATCAGTATACCATTCAGTCCTAACACCTTTCACTTCATCTTATTAAAGTCTCGTTTAGTTCAAAAACTCTAACTTTACAAGAGTACTATTAAATTTCTAATATTTAACTCTCCCCCAATAGACCTTCTAAATATTCTCCATCTTTCCTCGACTCTGATCTTCCTCTTTGATGCATCTAACAGTAGATCATTGTTTTTCCTCTCTCATCTTTGTGAGTTTATATACTCCATTTCACCCTCATTGGTGCTTAGTTTATGATAGAGTTTGTCATATGCCTTAAATTTTATTTAGATTTCTTTTTTCGGTTGTATCCTTCCAAGTTTCTACATTTTTAGTCTTTTGCCAATCTTTATAACATGTCCATTTTGCTTTAGTTATATTTTGAACCACCTCATACAACATTGATATTTACAGCCATTTTTTCAAGTAGTTATCCTACATCACAATGTTTACCACCAACAAAATCTATTACAACCACACATGACACACCAAATCTCACGAGGTATTTTAGATGCAGAAAACCAATCAAAGACCTAAAATATTAGAGATTGGAAGTAACATTATGAAAATGTAAATATAAATGACCATGAATAAATTCATTAACAAGAAAGGGGACAACAAAACATACAGTTTAGATCTTGAAAATTGGAATAGAATTTCAATGAAATGAAAACTTTATATGTTCCAAACAAGATTTCTCTTTAGACATTTACATGGATGGAGTAAGATACTCAGAGAACAAAAGTTATGATTATGGTAAGGGACAAAATCCATATATATATTCTCAAATCAAACACTATTACATCAAGGCTAATATCACTTCATGACTAAATTGCTCTAGCCTCCCAGGCCCTGCCATATCCTATTTAACTCCATGCAAAAAGATCTTGGATTCCCAAGTATAGATGATATCGATATACGGCCAAAATGCAGACCTTACCTTTAAATTGGCTCCTTCTAGGTTAGCTCCTTCTAAGTTTGCATTCGTAAGATCTGCAGTCTGAAATATAAAATGAGCTAGTAAAGAAAATTAGTAAATCTTTAAAATATCTAAAATAAGACTAAAAAGAAGCATACAGAATAACTAATACAACAAACAAATGGGCAAAGCATTATAAAAATTAAGATGGTTATTTTTCACAAAAAAGAATATTATGAGATTACAAACGTCCTTAAGCAGATAAACAGAAGACATTTAATTCCAAAAATTAAGAAAATGAAAAACAAAATATACACAATGTTGGGGTGGGGGGAGGAAGGGAGAGAGAGATGTCAACCTGTAGGTGTGCTGACCGGAGGTCTGCCCCACAGAGGCTACAATCAATCAAACAGGCATCTGAAAAATCACTAGATAAATAAGTATGCATTCACAAACATATTTGTGACAAGTGTCTGGTCAAAATACATAATCAATCAAAATGTGCTTTGTGGTTTAAATGATATAACTAAACCCAACCTTCCAACCATGACCATATCATAGTTGTCAAGGTGACGCTTGCTACACAGGCAGTTTGGGGGCTTGTCTAATGGCAGTGCATCAAAGTACTTCAAAAGGTACTTTCTCAGCCCTTAAGGCACACAGATAAGCACCTAGGCATCTAAATATGCAATATGGGTGCGCTAACCATGACACATTAAATAAATTATTAACAACTTTTAAGTCTTATAATTTCTGTCACTATCTCTATTTTATACTTGAATTTCTCTCTTATCAGGAATCTAACTCAAAATTCAAAATTAAGATCATGTAAACAGATTATGTAAATATTTTAGTTGAAGAAAAATTATGTGAAAACTTGTCTTAATATCATTTGGAACAGAAGTACTTGTAATATTCATTAGTTTATTAATATTAATGTAGTTGCTTTATTGATTCATTATTATTATTATTGCAATATTATACTTGAAATATTGCAAATAATATTTTGAAATATCTATATACTCAAGAACATGATATTTTCTATGATTTACTATGAAATTGTTTGGGTCAGGTCAGGCTTGAATTAGGCATGCCCGCCCAAATTGCAGCCCCATGACTAGGCACTCCAGAATCGCCTAGCTTCACCTTGGAGCCTTAAAAAAAATGGACCATATCAACAGTCAGATTATTCTAGAAAGATGTTATCTTTGTAGCAACAGTTGGGTTGCTCCACTGCGACCTGGGTGACCAGGGTTCAAATCTTGGAAACAGCCTCTCTATATGTGCAGAGGTAAGGCTGTATACATCCGTCCCTGCCCAGAGCCCCAGACCCCAGCCCAGCCTACCCGACATGTGAAAAGACAAGTGTCTAGCATGTGAAAAGACGAGTATGACAATCAGATCAGCCTTCACCCAAGCAGTTTGAGTTTAAACAAGAAAGGAGAGGGAAAAGAGAAGAAACTAACGATGTGTCCAAAGTGATTGATCTCCACCCAAAAAGGACCCAGTATAATATTATATTAAAAAAATTACAATACCGCACTTATAGGCAAAAAAGACACTATAGCCTATTACGTCAAATATTACAACATAAGATACAAAGGTAAAATTACAAATTAACCCCTTCTTCCTCTCTACACCCCCCCAAACTGATGTAGAGGCATCAATATTAGTTTGTCCACTAGAAATAAGTGTCTTGTCTAAGTCGTAGAGTTGGTGAAAATGCTGCAAATCAGAGCCAACAAGAAATCCCTGATGAAGTGATATTCAACCTCAATATATCTAGTTCTCTCATAAAAAACAGGATTAGATGCAATCTTTATAGAAATAGTGTTGCCAGCATAAAGAGGAATAGACAATGGAAGATGTTTATGCTGTGCCTTTTATGTACTTTTAGTGTGTCAGGGTCAGTACTGTTCTTTAACATATATTTATAGATGTTGAGATTAGGCTGATAACACTGGTTTTTGTTTATAATGTTTAAGGGTAAGTCTATGATTTGGGAAAAAAATGGTACGGAAAGAGTTTTGACCAATCAAAACCCACCCATGAATTTTGATAAATAACACCTTATTTGCTACCACGTTTTTTATTCCACTTTATTGGTCAGTTGTTTTTCAGATATCATATCTTTTCCATATCATAGCCGCACCGAATGTTTAATTAGGAGTTATTGGGCCCAAGGCCCATTAGTTTATGTTTTTTCAAGTGTAGAGCTTTCTAATGTTCTTTAGTAGTAACCGACTTACTAAGGGTATACATGTCATTGTATTCAGATTTTTTATGGGTATATAAGATAATGAATGGGGCGGCCAGATCTGATTTTGGCTCTCCCGTTCTTCTCAATTTCTCTCTTCTTCTCTTCTATGTAGATCTTGGCAATCCATGCAACTGAACAACTTCTTTAAAAACAAGTTAGCTACATGATAAGCATTAGAAGTCTTTTGGCAACCAATAAAGTGAGCCATTTTAGAGAAACGAACAACCACAACAAAAATAGAGTCATTACCCCTAAGCATTTCTTGGCAATACCAACACAAATTCCATAGTTATATCAGTTCATCGTGCTTGTAGTATGGGTAAGGAAAGATACAAACATGTATTTTGAGGCTGCCACTTAGATGTTTGGAACTTGTGACATACTTGTGTGGCCTTGGTCTTAAGTATCTTCTGGAAACCATTTCAAGTGTCTTCTTGTGACTAAAATGTCCCTTGCAATGCAAATCAGCAATGAGTAGCACCCTCAAAGACCTAGATAGAATACATAACCTATTGCCCATGAATAATAACCATCATTCCACACAAACATAGCTCGAATAACTTTGTCACCAGCTACATAGCTTTGACAAATAGGGCCAAAATAAGGATCATCTTGGTATTGGTCTTTAATGGAGTTGAATCCCACAACATTAATAGACATTGTACTCACCAAATGAACTCTCCTACTATGTGCATCAGCTGCACAGTTTGACTGTCCAACCCAATGCTACAAAACAAAATTATATAATTGTTGAATATCAATTCATTTAGCATGTCTTCCCTTCCTCTTTTGTTGGAAGTTAAGGTGCTTCAATTCTTCATGGTCTGAATACAACACAAACTCTAGTTGGATAAGGTAAGGCCTCCAAAACTTCAATATACCTCATTCTAGCATCATTGAGTTTCTCACTAAAGTAAGCAACAAGACAGCCTTCTTGGCTAAGGACAGCTCCAATCCCAACATGTGATGCATCATATTTAACTTAAAAGAGCTTGTTAAAATCAGGTAAAGTCAGAACCGGAGCCTTGGTCATCCTCATCTTTAGCTCTTGGAAGCTTTTCTCAATTATAGGAATCCAAGTAAACACTTCCTTTTAAGCATTCAGTAATGGATGACACAATAGTGCCGAAATTCTTTATAAATCAACGATAAAATACTACTGGCCCATTGAAACTACGAATTTCAGTTAAGGTCTTTGGGGTTGGCCACTCTTGAATAGATTGAACATTTTCTTGATCCACTTCAATCCCCTTGGCTGAAACAACATACCCCAAAAACACCAACCGGTCTATCATACAATTACACTTTTTCAAATTTATGTATAGCTGATTTTGTCTCAAGACTAGTAGTACCTACTCTTCAAATCTATCTTTGAAAAGACTTATGAGCCAGCCAATGTGTATAATATGTCATCAAGGCGAGGTATGGGAAACATGTATTTAACTATAATCTTGTTAATAGCATGATTGTCAACACACATATGCCAACTACCATCTCTCTTTGACATGAGCAAAGTTGGTACATCACATGGGAATGAGCTCTGATGGATCTGCCTCTTCTTCTACAACTCTGTAACTTGTCTTTGGAGCTCCTCGTGCTCCTTAGGACTCATTCTAAAGGGAGGTAACTTAAGCAATGATGTTCCCGACATTAAATCTATTGTACATCCCTTAGGGGAGGAAGGCCATCAGGTAATTCCTCAAGCATCACATCAGTATACTCATAAAGTAGTTTATTCACCATCTCTAGAACAAATGTTTATTTGCTAACTTCTTTTGTAACCAATACATAAACAATATCCAAATTCCCATCTTCTTGAGTCAATTTAATTGAGGTGAAGAGGGTAGTGGTTGGCTTAGTTTCCTTCTTTGGAAATGAATCAAGTTGCATTGGTTAGAGTTATCTTCTTATTGTCTTTCACAAAGTTGTATATGTTCTTGTCCCCATAATGAATGATCTTACGGTCATATTGCCATGGGTGTCCCAAAAGAACATAGCATGTGCCCATTGGGACAACATCACACCAAACTGATTCTTCAAATGTATTATCAATAGAGAAATAACTAACCATTTAGAAGAATCTTTTATCTCATTTCCTTTGTTGAACCACAAAATGCGATATGATTGGGGGTGTTGATAGTCTTGAGCTGTAATTTATATCCACCATCTATTGAGAAACAAGATTCTCACTACTCTTGTTGTCAATAATCAAGTTACACAACTTCCCACTAGCTGTACAACGTGTTCTAAAGATATTCTTTCTCAACTAGTCCTCAAGTAGTGGTTCTTGAGGTGCAACCATAGAGTGTTGTATCACTAGATGTCCCCTTCTAAGTATTCTTCCTCTAAAGCATTGGCTTCAGTAGTTTCAGACACTTGTCCATCCTCAACATTTTTTTTTTGATCAATAACTCGCAGATTTTATTAAAAATAGAGATAAAAACACAGGTACAAGAGTAGGGAGATAAGAACTCTTATCTCACCATACAGAACAACAAAACAAGAAGACAGTTACAAGATAGCACAAAACAAAGAGTCCCTATAAACCCCTTGTTTAGCTAACCCATCAGCAAAGGAGTTAGCACTTCTCTTAACCCAATTTACCTTCACCTCAATGTTTTTTGTTAACCATTTGAATTTCCTCTTCTCATTGCTGTAGTTCCAAAAGTTAGCAGAATCATTTCTCAGCCAGTTCACTACCAATTTAGAATCGCCCTCTATGACTAAATTAGTGATATTCAGATCGATTGCCCTTTGAGTTCCTTCAATAACAGCTGAAATCTCAGCTTTTAGAGAATCACCCAAACCGATTGGTCCTGAAAAAAAAGCAATTATCACTCCTGCCTCATTCCTTAAGACACCCCCAATACCTGAAGGACTCGGATAAACCATGCTGCTTCCATCAAAATTAAGTTTAACAAACCCTCTAGGAGGAGGATTCCAAGCAGGAAAGGAAGTGTCTTTGACCAGATCCGAACTTGCAATTTCCTTCCAATTTCTGAGCAGATCATCCACTGAAAAATCTTAAAAGAGACCCAGAGGCTTCAGCCAATGAACCGCTCTGATCTGAATCAGCTCCAGAACTTTTGACAGTCTTCTTTCCCTATCTGAGAAAATTCTCCTGTTTCTTTCTTCCCAAATGGTCCAGCAAACAGCA